GTGTGATGTATTTGTTAAATCCATGGTTTTTTGGCAATGCCTCCTAAAGTGTGGGGTGTATTTTGCTGGCCAACTAACTACAAAAGGGTCTCATCTCACAACATTAAGCATGACAATATAGAGAACTGGGCCACCTAGAATGTTCTATGGTAGAGATTTCAGTGTACTCAACTCAGGATAAAAGAATGCCCTTGTGTTTTGCATGTTTTCATTACCAGTATCCATGTACTTGTATAAACAAAGAATGCCTGCAAGCCATTGACCTTCATTCTGCAATTACCTTAAGATGGTGAGCTGTTGTGTATAGTTTTCCACAGCCATCATATTCACAGCGAAAAGCCTTCTCTCCACTTGGCTGAGATTTAGCTGTCACTCTTGTTCCATGTCCTTGCAAGACAATCTAGGATAAAATAAATATAAAATCATGCAAACCATTTAAGATGTTTGACAAATTAGAAAAAAATCTGATATTAGGTCATGTCAGTCCAATTAGCAATTACTTTTAAAAAGTTTATATCACCAAATATTAACTGATGTGGTTTATTTTTTTTAATTATTAGTATTTTAGTGAAAACACAGGATCTAAATATTCCTTGTCGGTATTTGCACCACCTATGGAAAAAAGCACTACTAATGTATAAGAACTAGAACATAAAATAGATTTGTATCTATTATAAACAAAAGCAAAACTAACTAGTCTGTTTTTCTTGTCCAATCTTAAAATTCAAAAAGCAACCAAATGATATTAATCAGAAAAAAAATAAATTCTATTCTTAAAATTATTTCATTTTAATCATTAAGGTATTTCTATAAACAAACGTAAGGGATTTTTTTTGGTAACATATTTAGTTTTATTCTGACAGTGTCTCTTAAAAGTTTGTGTCCTTGGGAAAAGTGTCATTGAAATACACAGCTGAATTAAAGTTTCCTTTTCTCAAAATATTGGCGATAATGAGCTATTTTATCTTTACACACAGGAAAAAATATATCTAAAAAAACTTTTTAAAAAGACAATCATTCTAAAAGTGCATCACAAGAGTAAAAATAAAATTTTCAGCTACCAGTTTAGGAGAAAGATTGAATGGCTAAGTATGATTCAAGGTACTTGCTAACTGTTAGCCATCCAATCTTTCTCCTAAATTGGTAGCTGAAAACTTTTACTCTTTTGGTGCGTGCTTTTAGAAAGACTGTCTTTTTTTAAAGTTTTTATACTTATTTTTTTTCTTTTTGGTCTTTCCTCTCCACACACACTGTGGGATTGCTGGCTCTCCTCCGCACCCCCTCCATCCCCCCACATTCTGAGGATGTTTCCCTCCCCCTAGCTCTGGAACTGTTGCCCTCCAGGTTGTGGGGCTGATGCCCCCCCTGGTTCTGGGGATGTTGCCTTCCCCCCAACTCTGGGGCTGCTGCCCCCCCTTTGTCTTGGGCTGCCGCTGGGGGGGGGGGGGCCTGGAGCCAGAGCTACCGGCATGAAGACAGGTAGGCTGCCTGGAGGAGCTGGCAGGGGCAGCCTACTTCGTTGTCGGCCTGCCGGGGTGGGGGGGAGCGGGAGCTGGAGTGGCCTGTTGCGTTGGCCACAGCAGGAGCTAGGTGGCAGAGTATATGCCTGCAGGAGCTAGCACAGGCGGCCAGTGCATGCGCAGAAAGGGCAAGATACGTGCGCAGAAGCGGCAGGTTGAAAATCTTGTGACAGACAGACAAGAACAGTGATGGCTTAATAGAAAGATTGTCTAATAATAAGACTTTCTATTGGTGACATGGATTACAAATAACAGAACACACCTGACAACAAAATTAATCCAATATTTTGGGCCAATATCTCTCTAATTTTATTTACTAAACTTGCTACCACCAAGAAATTGCTATATAATAATGAATCTAATGGCTCAAAAAGGTCTCTCATTGGACAACTAATGCCCATGAACATCTCTCATTCTTTGATTGTTTAGCTGAAGATTTCAATGTAGCATCCCTCTAATAAACATGCAGACACTAATCAGAATATAGATAAAATCATGATCAAATGACTAGTGATTTTTGGGCGCCTCAACTAGACATTCCTCAAAGGAACCTGATTTTTAGAGTAGATACAGAATGCTTTCTCAAAATCAAGTCTCATTCTGGGCTGGAGTATGCTGCGTCCTGGCATATGTTTCTTTCAGCAACCACAGCCAACCACTGCAAAGTTAAAGCAGACCCCAAATTACTCTTTCTTTGTTGAGGCTGTGACAGAGAATCAATATTCTTCTTAACATAGTTCCACTGTTACAGGCTACAGGCTAGACACCACAGCCATATACCATCTGATAATACTAATACCAAGAAACTACCAGGCTGAGCATTCACAAAATTTTACTACAGGTTGGACCTCCCACATCTGACACTCTTGGGACATGACTGGTCTCAGATAAGGGATTTTGTCGGACCAGGGGAGGTCATTTTTGGACCCTGCCACCGATCCCCCTGGCCTAGCAGCTGGCCGCCCAGCCAGCTCCCCACCTCCTGCTGGCTCCACTGCCCTGCCAACTCGCTGGGCAGCCATCGCTGCCATGGCTTTGCCAGGCAGCCTGGTGCTGAGGCTCCAGGCAGCTACAAACAGCACGTGCCAGGGCTCCCTGGGCACCAGGGCAGCTATGCGTGTGCCGGGGCACCCAGCCCCACTGAGCAGTCACATGCCACATCTCCCAACCCCACTGGGCGGCCACACCATCAGCTCCCTGCAGGCAGCCCACTGATCTGCCAGCCTCACAGAAATCCTTACTGCTGGACCTTCACCAGGACTCTCTGGTCCTGCAACATCCGTGTGGTACTATGGATGTTGTCAGACCAGAGATTCCCAGTGAAGAGAGTTTTAACCTGTACTATTATTACACTTAAAATTAATAAAGACACTTCAGAGAGTGAAAATAAATTGTTTTCAGAATTTTGCTTCTCAAACACATTTGCTATTGGAAACCTAATATTTTTGCTATTCTACTATGGCCTCCTCTGAAGAAATTTAAAAGTATCATTCAATTGATTGTGCAATGCTACTGATGGTCAAACACAACTGTAGCAAAATCATGTATCATTGACTGCAGAAACAGAGTACACCTTCACTTGTACACCTGCCCCCACAGGTCAGCAGAGTTTGCAGATAACCTGTGACACATGAGGAAAGAGAGAAGACTAGAGCATTGGTATTGGATCTCTCCGCTGTGGCAGATGAGATGTGAGCTTCCAGTGCCTTTGGTATACAGACACTTCTACATCTTATCTTGTTTCATTTAGCTTTTCAAAAATGTTATAAGCAGAATATTTGGAAAACATCAAATATTAGTTTTCCTGTCTTTCCTGGGTACAGTCACAAATGTCACTTTGTTAAGAAATTCTCTAACCTATCTAAATCATAAACCAAGTGTGCATGAATTAGAGATCTTCTTTTGATGTAGCAAGAAAGATTTTGTATTAATATTTTTGAGGTTGTTTTTTTATTACATTTTTGTCATGACTCTTTAAAGTAAAGAAACAACTCTTTTCTTGTCTTGTCTTATTCTTTCTTTACAAATGTGTTTGTGAAGAGAAAGACCTTAAACGGTCAGTGAATCTTTCTCTGTGCCTAGTTTCAGAAAGCGCACCAAAGTTTTCCCACTATTCTTGGGACCTCTGAGGAAAGACTTCCCTTTTGAAAAGATTTTTAAGCTTTAAGTGGCACAATGAACTAAATGAAACAGTATTATTTTCAAAGGAAAAGAAAAAAATATGTTACTCCTTACAACTGCGTTTCTCAAACTGTGGGTCCTGACTCCCCGGAGAGTTGCGAGCAACTTACAGGGGGGTTGCAGCAACTTAGAAGGGGGTCACAGTATCACAAAGTTTGAGAACCCCCACCTTAAAAGGCTAGAGATTTTTGTAAGCCATGTCCATTTGTCCCTACATGTTATTCTCTCCGTCCTCTGTACCAAGGCATAAGGAGTGATGCAGACAGGGGCCTCTACAGTTCTCTCTCATACTACATATCAGAGGGGAAGGGGGGGGGGAGTGTGAATGGAATACAAGTATGGATTACATATCTCAAAAAAACCTCAATTTTTTTTCTTGGGGAGATGGTCTCTATGGGTATGTCTTCTCAGCAAAGTTATTTCGAAATAACAACCATTATTTTGAAATAACTTTACTAGCATCTACACAGCCAAACTGCTATTTTGAAATTAATTCAAAATAGCAGAGCGCTTATTTTGAAATTGGTAAACCTCGTTCCACAAGGAATAACGCCATATTCAAAACAGCTATTTCGAAATAAGTGCTGTGTAGGCACTTTATCAAAATAGGGGGCCCTCCAGCCTCAACTAAGAACACTCCTCTTCCTCCCCTCTCCCTGGAGCCCTTAAAGGGGTTGACTCTGGCCACACTGCCTATGCCAGCTCCAAGCCTGCCAGCCCAGAGCCAGCAGTCACTACTCCTGACCCAGTGATCCAAAAACATGAGCCAGCAAGCCACTGGCAGCCAGCCCTCCACCTCTCCCCAGGAGCAGTCTGCCAGCTCCCAGGAGCCTGACAGGGTCCGGAGAAGGCGGGCGCCTTCCTGGTACAAGGTGGAGATCATGGACCTTATTCAAGTTGGGGGGGATGCCCCCAACATCCATGATCTCCTCACTAGACGAAGGAACCCAGCCGTCTATGGCAGGATAGCTTCCAGCCTAAACACCAAAGGCCACATACGAACCCAGGAGCAGGTTCACATGAAAATCAAGGTGGTCCAGTGAGACCCCCCCAACCCTGAGCTTCCCCTCCTCCTTCTTCCCTTTGCTTCCCCTCCAGCTCCCTCCTCCCAGGTTTTCCCCTCCCCTCTCCCGCCTTCTTTCCCCAGTCTCACTAGAGTTTCATTCCCCATCCCCACCTTCAGTTTTGTTAAAGAGAGTCTGTATTCATGAAAATACATGTATTTTATTTGACATTAGGAAGGGGGGGTTAGGGAGGGGTAAGTGGAAGGACATGAAGAAGGAATGAGGCACAGGCCCCTAGTGGGGAAGACCAGGGAGGCTCTTAGTGCTCCTCAGGGTGGAAACTCTCCCGCAGGGACTCTTGGATACTGACAGCCCCCCGATGGACCTCCAGGATGGCAGCCTGCAGAAAGTGCAACCAGGCTCATAGCAATGCGTCCACAAGAAGTACCAAAGTGCCCAGGGGAAGCTCTGGCTCCATGTTGCAGAGTGCTATGGTGTCCCGAGTGAGGGCAACCAGAGCACGCAGACACAAAATGGTTTGCTGTCCCTCATTGAGGTAGGCAAGCAAGCAGGGAAACCTTAGAACCGGCTGTGTGGGGGGGTAGTGTCCCTTTAAGCACAGGCCTCAGATAGCCTCATGCAGCAGCCACACAAACTCCTGACCTGTTGCCCTGCCGGACCTGGTTCCAGCCGGC